ACGTAAGCAAAATGTGCCATTTAAAGTTACTTACAAGCGGCCGTCCATAAATGACGTCACGAGATTTTGGACGTTTTTTGGCCCCTCCCCCCCCTCGTCACACGGCGTCACAAATAGTCAGACCCCCCCTCAAATATGACGTCACAAAGCTCTGCCCTCCCCCCCCCCCAAAAAAAATCAAATATGCTTCAAATCGCTTTAAACTATTGTCATTGTAGTGCGTATTTAACGTGGCGCTGCACTCTGATGTTGTAGGAGGAAACATTTATTAAAAAGTCTATTTAATTAAGTAGACAGTGTTTTCTATATTCATTTAAAGTTGCGCATTTTTATGTGACGTCACATTTCTCAACCCCCCTCGTCACACATCGTCACAAATGTCTGACCCCCCCCCCCCGCTTAGGTGCGTGACGTCATTTATGGACGGCCCCCAAGTTGTTATTTTTTTAATACGTGGCAAACCTTACTAATTAGCTACGTCGGGTGGTGACGGGTTTAACGACACATTTAAATTTACGCGATCTAACCCCCCCCCCCCCTCTATTATGGATAACGTTGGTCGCGAAAGCCCTCTTACGTAGTGCTTATTACTACTACTACTACCACGTGTTAAACTGTGAATATTCTGCATCGTTTTGTCCCCGTGTCCCGGACGGACTGATTCTCGCGGCAGACATCGCAGCGATCCACCCGACGAGGTAATTGTGGCGCGTGTTTGGACTTATTTCGCCACGTACGAGGAACTGGTCGATTGGCACGATGCCGGTTGTCGATATGAATCACGAGTTAATTACTTTCGCGTCATCTACGCCATCCCACCCGTGTTGTTTCCGCGCTGCCCCGTGTATCGTTTGCACGGTTTGCGTTTGCCTCGACAGCCGACTGCTAAAATGCTCAAATCTCTTAACAACCAGCGGTTCATTTCAGCCGGAACAATCCGGAACACCGTTCCTGGAATAATTGTAATTAACGGAAATCCACGCTGACTTCAACGGTGAGTGCACGCATCTAATTTGAATTAACCCGTCCATGGGATTATCTCAAAATAGGGTACAATCATATGGGATTATTACGGATAGGCAGATCCTCGTAGGCTCGTGTGGTAGTGCCTTACCCCAATAATCTCGAACGCAAGCCAGCCCTGCGGCGCTTCAGGAAAAATATCAAGTGAAAAATTAAGATCTAATTATAACATGCTCTTTGGATCTTTCGGCAAAGTCACGTAGGTATAAAATAATAACAAATTAAATCACGACGTTTCGGGCGCGACACAAGCGTCCGTCATCAGGTGGGACAACCACAGCAAGAAGCAGCTGCTGAAGTGGGCAAAAGAGGTGGTTGTATCACGAGGCTATATAGGTAAGAGAGGGGGGGGGGGGGCGGAGCCAGGGAGAAGGGATAGTTTAAGGAAAATAAAATAACACCTTAACAACAGCCAGTATTTTGATTTAAAGCTTTCGTGACTGCAGTAATTCATATTCTTAGTTTTTTCGGTAAAGTCACGTTGAAGAGAAACAACAAAATAACAAAATATATATAAAACAATAAAAAATTCTCACGACGTTTCGACCATAACTCAAACGGTCATCACCTGATGATGACCGTTTGAGTTATGGTCGAAACGTCGTGAGAATTTTTTATTTTTTTATTGTTTTATATATATTTTGTTATTTTGTTGTTTCTCTTCAACGTGACTTTACCGAAAAAACTAAGAATATGAACAGCCAGTATATTTATAAGACATTGTGTCACAGCAAGTTGCGCCCCACCCAAGGTCGTGCGAAGTGATATTTTAGAATTCTTACAATTCGAAGTCATCGAAATGGCCTCCAAAAGCCACAATGAAGCAAGTTAATTATCTCAGATCCAATGGCGAGTGGGAAGACATCTTCCAAGCGATTATATACAGAGTTGCTTGCTTTTTTTCTTTTCTTCATTCAGGTTGGAATATTGTTTTCCTATTTTGTTAAAGGATTGTAATGGACACGAGCAGTTGTTTTAGGAAACGAAAACTCTTTAACCACGTAACAAAGGACACCAAGAGGTGTATTTGTCTGTGACCCTCAGGAATTAACTCAAATGCTCTCTAAACAATTTGTTTTACTTACCAGGTAAGGCCCACTGAGCTATACAGCTCTTTTCAGAAGCGACCTGCTTCTCATAAATGATAGCTCCATGAAGTAGTTGAACGCGTAGACATTTATAGGAGCCGAATACTGTAAACGCGTGTTCGTTCTAAATGTGGATGGGAAAAACCAGGAGGACCCGGAGAAAAATCCACACGACCAGCAGAGGGAAAGAGACACGCAAACTCCAAATGTACAGCAGGCGTCAGGATCGGGATCGAACCCACAATCTCCTGCATACCGGACGAGGGAGTTAACATATCTTAGCCACCGTGATGATGGTGAGAGAGAGAGAGACACGCAAACTTCAAATATACAGCAGCAGGCGTCAGCGTCGGGATCGAACCCACGACCTCCTGTATACCAGGCGAGGTAGTTAACATCTCCGAGCCACCGTGATGATGACGAGAGAGAGAGACACGCAAACTTCAAATATACAGCAGCAGGCGTCAGGATCGGGATCGAACCCACGATCTCCTGTACACCAGGCGAGGGAGTTAACATCTCTTAGCCTCCAGTCTCGATACAAACGAACGGCTGATTGTTGCAGCAATGCCCTGGATCAAGTAATTGGCCTCCATCACGCGCACACTCCAAGGGTCTGAAGTGCAAATTGCCCAATCGTAGATTTTCCTTTGTCTATTTATATACAGGGTGGCCCAAAAGTCAGGACACATAAGGATTATGATACCATTTTCAACAAATCCCAAGGGGTTATTTTGCTGACCTCCGTGAAAATGAACGTATGACGCATTAATTATCTTTTGAAATTAATGTAGGCCTTTTTTACGTTACGGACGTGATCTTTGAACATTCATTAATGAATGTTTAATTGGCTCAATTCATTCGGCGTTCTCGGTCGAGTTTTGCTAATGACGAATTGGAGTTGCTCTCCCCACGCGAGGAATAAAGATACGCGCGAATAACGACCACCGATAAAACATGACCTTAAACAACAACAACAACAAAAAACACAAAAAATGGCAGTGTCAAAATGAATGAAATAACGCCACGTGTCCTCACATTTGGGGCCCACCCTCTTGCATAACCTGCACCAGACTCCTTCGGAACAAAGCAAAAAAAAACAAATATGGCTCTGAGCACCACTCCGACTTCGCCCTTGGAGCCGCGCGCGAGTTTAATTCCCCATCGCGGGAGACTTTTCAAAAGGGTTGTCGTCGCTTCTGTCACTCGCTCCCACATCTCGTCGCGACGACATCACCGAACATTTCGCACCTCCGATGGGCACGGTCGTCCACGTACGATGTGGAGGATGCTCTACGTACGTACGTGACAAACCATTCGTGTATCAGCACCCTCAACCACCACTCGAATCTCCCGCAGCTTTACATAAACATCGTTACTATGATCACGATTTATAAATATATTTTTAAAAAAACATTTGTATTTCGATGTAAAGCTTTCGTGACCGCAGGGATTCATCTTCTCGGTTCTGTTTTATTATTTCCCTTCTACGTGACTTTACCGAAAGAACCAGGAAGATGAACTGTTTGTATTTTGCCAGGTAAGCTCCACTGAGCTACATTGCTCTCTTCAGAAGCGACCTGGCCACAAGCGATAGCTCAACGAAGTGGCTTCATCACGTGCACATTTACAGCAGCAGCCAACTACTCTAAACGCGTGTTGTTTCTTAATGTGAAGAGAGAGAGAGAGAGGGGAAAACCGGAGGACCCGGAGAAGAATCAACGCGACCACGGGGAGAAACATGTAAACTCGAAATATACAGCAGCGGGCGTCAGTGGTCGGGATCGAACTCACGACCTCCTGTACACCGGGCGAGGCAGTTAACATCTCGCCAGCGTGGGGGCCCACATTAAATACTACGTACGGTACTCAAAATCCAACCACAGCTTACTCCGCAGAAGAAGAAGAAGAAGCAAACAACTGGCCGGTCGTCACCGTGGCTCTAGCAGACCTCACCGGGGAAAGCTATACGACGTCGACGACAGGACATAACACACGTCATCACAGGGCAATGAGCACCGTTGGATACGTACGGTGCGAAAGAAGTTCGCCGTGCGATACGTTCTCCAAAACACAATGGCTCGCGACACGTGGTTTACACAAAGCGCGTCAATCGCAAATCGACGACGACACCTCCAGCGGCTCGATTTCTCTATCCTTTCCAGTACACCGACCGGACGAGATGGCGACTCTTAACCGGCTCTCCGTCGCGCCAAGGGTCTCAATGGGCTCGTCACCAGGTTAGAAAGTTTTACGTTAAGCACTTTTCAGCGACGATACGTAATCAGCAACATCTGAATGGCTTTCGCTCGGTCAAGTACGATATCTCAATGAGAACGACAACAGGCACACCTTATGGTCGTCTGGCTCTGTGACCACGAATTGCATTAACACAGGACTCTATCTCTCTCTCACTTGCTCTCTGTCTCGTGAATCTGAAGACAATGCTATTCATAATAGAGGGGTTTTTTTTAAAGTTAGATCGCGTAAATATAAATGTGTCGTTAAACCCGCCACCATCCGACACAGCCAATTAGTAAGATTTGTCACGTAAAACAAAACGTGCCAATTCGTTACAAGTACAGCACACCGGTTGTGTGTTGGAGAGTAAACCCACCACAACATTTACAATTCGTGTACCGTGGCGTTTTTGCCAGCAAAATTACGACCGGCATCATCAGGCCACAGCCAGACTCGTGGATAAATCCTCCAAAACAGGCACCGAGACCAGGGAGGATTTCTCCAGCCTCCCTGTCAAACTGGCAATGCCATTTGTGTGGCTTCACGTGCCCTCGTGCACCACACGCAACGCTACTCCGCTGTGAGCATGTGAGCGCGCTACCCCTCCACCCACCACCACCACCACCACGAACCCACCACACATCCCACCTTTGGCGCATTGAAGACCAACGCTCTCCACAAGCTGCTCCGTCAAGCCGGGCGCAGCGACGTTCGACAGCCGCCGGTGTGGCCACCCACCGACAGCCACCGGTAGCTAGCCGGCGAGCTTACCTGCTAGCTTACTCGCTCGCTCGCTCATCGAGGTCTCACAGCGCCGCGCTTATGGCGAAGAGGCTTCGCAGCGCGTGGTATTTGGTGGTGGGGGGAGAGGAGGAGGAAGGGGGGGGGATGACAGAACGACGGACAGAGCTCTCGGAAGAAACCACTCGGAGCGCGTGTGATGGAGCGGGGGTGGAGAGGTGGATGCAAGTCGATATCATCCGAATATTTATTAAATCCTGGAGGGATCCGATGAGATCTAAAGCTCGCCGTGAAACGTCAGCTGCACCTTTGAGATTCATTGGTTACTCGGTTAAGGTAAACGTGGGATCAGCGAGAGAACAAAAAATTACGAGTTTCGTATCCATTTTTGTGAGTTGAACAACGGCAGCAATAAATGCGTGCGTTTACATTTGGGCATTTAGGCACTACCCTCCCACCTCCCTTTTTCTCTTCTTCTACTACAGGGGTGTCAGCGCTTAGGAAGACACAAAGGGTTGTAGAGTTTATTGAAACATGCGGTGTAAGACAGGTCTGCCATTGCACCGTAATCCGTAATGTGTGGATTTGTGCCGGCGTCAACCCCCTTTCATATTCCTCTGTGCTCGTGTACCTGAATAGTTTTGTCCATAAAAAAAACATATACTTTTGGAGAATAATGTTCCTTTTATTTGCGTTGCGTTTAAAAGTTGTAACTTTACGTTCATACCGACGGCCAGTGAGAACGTTTTTTTTTCCACGTTTCCCTTGATGGAATTGTCACTGTCCGCGGAGTTCACGGACTGAAAACCTTTGTCCTCTCTTGCTAAGCGGGAACCTTACTTTATAATAATCACTTCATACTGCCATGGAGATGTCAGCTTGGATTTCAAGATGACAATCAATAGAGTGGCTGGTGGTAATAATAAAGATGATGATAAATAATCATGCACATTGTTTTTACGAAACATCATTGAATTGCGCAATATTATACTCGTGTAACTGTGCTGTATATAATATATTAAAATAAATCTATGTTATGAAAAATGTATAACGTTGTGGTTAATAATGTTTGTAGCCGAGAGGCACACCCCATTCCCCTTTGTAGCTTTGCAAATCTGTTTTATTAACAAATTATTCAACATGCAATACAGGTGCATTATATAAATAATATATTGCTATATTTAAATATGTATGTCTGTACATATATGTGATGTGATCATTATCCGTGGCGTGACTCTTCATTGTTATGAGAGTGTGCGTGTCCAGGTGCAGCTGCTTCCCAACCAATTTTCGCAATAAAGCAAATATGAATCGCTCCATAAATGCAGGATTAAGATGCATATATATTTTTTATTTAGCTACTAATTCATGAGAAGTTCAGAATTATGTTACCATGGTGGGGGGTGGGGAAGAAAAGACAGATTCGTCCACAAAAAAAGAATTGGCTGCTGATGAGACATTAATAAGTATGGAGGTAAAGATGAGACTTGTAAACAAGAACCAAAAACCACTGGAGGATCACCGAACTGCCCGCCCGCCCGCCCGCTCCGCGCCGTCCCTACTTGGGAATGGTTCGAGACCCGCCGCCTCTCGGTTGGCTCGGCGTAACTCTCTCGCGCCTATTCAGCACAGGTCGTGGACGTTGAGAAGATGGGGGGAGGTGGGGGGGGCACTGCCGGATTATCGTAGTAGCACAAGTAGCTACGTACGATACGGGCCCCGAAGTTTCAAGGGCCCCGCGCTATAAATGCTTCCAAGCTATCAATTCCGGTTCAGTGATTCTGCACTTGCTCTATTACCATAGTACTATACCGCTTTCAACTTTTATGAACGACTGGGTGTTTAAGGTTAGCGACTATGTCGTATTATCTGGCTGTATAGCAAATGAAAAAAATACAATTACTTTACTATGCACGTGTAGAGGTGCTAACTACTCACTGTTCGGCAACCTGCATTGCCACTAGGTATCAAAGGGGCAGTGGAGGATTACCTCTGTGTGAATAACGGTTGGGGTCAGACGAGGTGAAGTGGATCATAGCCACAGTTTGGTAAGAACCAATCAGACAGATCCACGTGTGAATGTGGGATTGGTTAGACCTGGCCACAAACGGGTATAAGAAGGGTGAGCACGCAGAGCGCAGGGAATTCTCTCCCTACACGAAAACCGAAGCCCGGGCCGAAGATAGCCAGGACCCTGGACCCAGCCTTCCAGCCCTTCTGAGGGCTAAGGCTCGGCGTATCCAGTGGTCAAGACCCGCCGGGCCAGCGGTGGGTCACATAGCCTCCCCTAGGTCCCAGCCGGAAGACTCTAGGATAGCGGTAGACTCGAGAGTAAGTCCCACCAAGACAGGAGGCTGTACCTCCTTAGGTTAGCAAGAGACCTGTGTGTAAGTCCCGCTAAGTCCAGAGGCTTTACCTTCTTAGGGTATCGGGTGAGGGGACCATATACCCCTTTGTGTGTTAAGGACTGTGTAAGAGAATAATTACAATAAACAGAGTGTGCCTCATAAGAAGTTTATTCGTCATTATAAACACTACAACTGGAGTCAGAAGTGGTTGAAAATTGGAAACAAGAAGTTCAGCCCACATGCGAGGTCAGAATGGAGAAAACTCTGATTCATCTGCGGGAACCGCCAACTCCGTTGAAAATGCCGGCACATTGCCAACCGCACAACCACCGGCTCAGCAGCCGATCACTCCTCCTGCCATGGGGGACGGACTCCGGGCAGCACACAGCCGTCTCGCCCAACTTCTACATGCTGCAGCCTCCATTCTTGACGAAATCAACTTGGAGGCTGCGGGCGGATTAGATCAGCCGCAGGCGGATGTTCCCGCCATCGGCCAAGACGGACATTTTGAATTTCCCGCCGAGGAATCACGTGGTTCCACCAGAAGTGGAAGCCAAGGGCATTCTTGGAATGTTGGGGGCCAATCGCACCTCGCAGAGTCATTAAATTGGCAGGTCCATTTTGGACTCTTCCTCCCTCGCCGTGCCGTGTTTGTTAGGTACTGGCTTTCTCGCAAAAATGCCTATTAAAATCCTTGTGGATCAAGGTTGTATCGAACTCCCGTTGGGCCGTCGGATGACGTTCTTGCCCACACCCGCACATCCACACAGGGCTAATGCCTCTGTGCAGGCGTTCGTCACCGGCACAGTACGTATTCCGCCAGCAGCACAAATGCTCGTGCCCTTGCGATTAAAGAAACCGCTAGCCCCGGACGCCTTGGCACATGGCGTTTTGCTGGGGCCGTCGAACACAGCTGTTAAAGGGTTGGATTTGGTGGCTACACAGACCCTCGTAGCAGCTGACAGGGAGCCGTTCTTGCAGTTGTTGAATGTCGGATTGTCCACAACCGTCATTCCGCAAGGAACTGTGCTCGCTCACGCGACCCTGGCGCCCCTGGGCACCGGCGTCGGGGGACACGTGCTTGACAGGCCACAGGTTCAACCTCCTTCCAAATTGGATGAGGAATGGTTGGACGCGCTCTGCGCAGACACGGGTGTTCTGTCCGGTTCGCAGCGAATAAAATTGTGTGCTCTTCTGCGAGAATTTTCTGATATATTCAGTAAATCCAAATTCAATATTGGCTGCACCAAGCTGCTGTGTCACCACATTAATACTGATGACGCCACCCCTATTCGACAAAACCCGTTTCAGCTTAGCCCGGCGGAGAAGCAGCATGTTAAATCGGCAGTGGATGACATGCTGGAAGCCGATATCATTTCTCCTTCCACTAGTCTCTGGGGTGCTCCAATAGTGCTGGTCAAAAAGGACGATGGCAGTCTTCGTTTTTGCTTTGATTTTCAGCGCCTAAATAAAATCTCGGTAGCTGATGCCTACCCTCTCCCTCGTATGGACGAGTCATTGGATGCCCTGGCAGGGACGCACTATTTCTCCACTCTGGACCTTCTGTCGGGGTTTTGGCAACTTCCCCTCGACGAGGCGTCAAAACCTAAGACTGCTTTTCGGATACCACCGGGCCTTTTTGAGTTTAATAGATTGCCCATGGGTCTCCACTTGGCCCCAGCAACGTACCAGAGGCTCATGGAGCTGCTCCTCGCTGGGCTCCAGTGGGACTCATGTCTCATTTTTCTCGACGACGTCATCGTCTTTAGCCGCACGTTCGGCGAACACCTTGAGCGATTATATTCTTAGCTCTTTCGGTAAAGTCACGTTAAAGGGAAACAATAAAATAATAAAATATATATAAAATGCGGACTGCTAACTTAAAATTCAAACCGCAGAAATGTCACTTTCTGCGTGAGTCTGTGCACTATTTGGGCCACATAGTCAGCCATCGGGAATTTCTACCGACCCTGAAAAAACCAAATGCGTTAGCCAATGGCCGACCCTTACATCTGCAGGCAATCTTCGCAGTTTTATTGGTTTTGCGTCATATTACCGCCGTTTTGTTGCTGGCTTCGCGACGATTGCCAAACCACTTCATGCCGTTACGTCCAAAGGGGTGATGTTTTATTGGGGGGACGCGGAACAGGCCGCATTCGATTCTTTGCGGAACGCACTCGTGACGGCACCGTCCCTGGCATACCCCGATTTTTCTATACCATTCGTATTGGACACCGACGCTAGCAATATGGGGATTAGCAGTGTCTTGTCCCAAAGGGTTGATGGCATTGAAAGGGTCGTTGCCTATGGTAGCAGAGTTTTGTCTCCTGCTGAACAACGATACTGTGTTACCCGACGTGAGCTGCTGGCCATTGTGTTTTTCATTCAGCAATACAGGCCGTACCTATATGGTCAACATTTTACCGTGCGATCTAATCATTTGGCATTACAGTACGCTCTGCTGGGTTGACCAACCGTCCGGCCAGCTTTCTCGGTGGCTCGAAATCCTTCAGGACTATGATTTCAATGTCACTTACCATAAGGGTGCACAACACACGAATGCCGATGCATTGTCTCGCCTCCCGCCGGCTCAAAAATGTGTATGCTTTGGCTCTTTCTCGCAGCGGCGGCTTTTGGCGAGCGGTCGAAACAAAGACGGTGACTGCGTCACGCACTTTCAGATGCGCTCCCGCGGCCGTCCAGAACTGCTCTTTCTCCCGACATTCAGCAAGCCGGCTGGGAGCTATGGCACTTTTAAATCGTCATCTAGATTGAGAATGGATTTCTTTTTATGTTTTTAGTTTGTTGTGCTTCCCCCCGCACCTCCGATGAGCACGGTTGACTACGCACGGTGGTGCGAAAGGAGCCCAACGTACCGTACATGCGCAAGGAGCGAGGGAAGGTTGGTGGAGGAATGCTAAGAAGGCAAAACCGTCTGGATTTTGGATTCGGGAATATTGTCAGAGGCTTAATTTCAGAAATGACCTCTTAAAAGGATGTTAAGGGGACAAATCCATTAGGCAATGAAAGGAAGCCACTGCTCAACAGTATGACAGCTGAAATTTAAGTGAATAAGTAAGCTCCCAGAAAAGCATGGAAAAGTTGAGTCAACCTTGGTTGACGTTGACCCAACATTGCCTCAACCTCAATCAACCAACGTTAACCCAACGTTGGTTGACCCAACATTGCCTCAACGTCAAGCAACCAAGGTTGGCCTAACGTTAGTTGATGTTGACCCAATGTTGCCTCAACTTCAAGCAACCAAGTTTGGCCCAACGTTAGTTGACGTTGACCCAACGTTGCCTCAACCTCAAGCAACCAACGTTGGCATACAATTTTGAAAACGAAAAAAAAACAATCTGGTTACACGGCTTAGTTACTATTTGACGTGTTATTATTTCAAAGTAAAATATATGGTACAGTATTGGAATACAAAACTAATTAAGCAATTTACGTGAGATGGCTTCTTATATACAGGGTGGCCCTAAAGTCAGGACACATAGGGTCACTATGCTTATTTTGACAAATCACGGAGGTTCTTTCATTTATTTTAACAAATGTTCAAATTTGACTTCTATGAACATGAATGCATGATGCATGAATTATGTTTTGAAAGTAATTTACGACTTTTTTTGTTAATGAATTCCGGGTTCTTCTTGGTCAGAGTTTTGTAAGTGACGGATTTACAGTGACACTCCCACAGGAAGAAAAACATTGTATTATGTATGTACGTATGTTGAACTTCTTTCGCACCGTACGAAACCAACCGATACTATATTAATTGAAAGCATACACAATACAAAAAAATGTTTTGATGCCAGTGTTCAAATAAATAAAACAACCCTATGTGTCCTGACTTTTAGGCCACCCTGTATAAGTTATGGTGAAGAGATGTTAACTCCCTCGCCTGGTATACAGGAGGCCGTCAGTTCCATCTGGACGCTGACGCCTGCTGTATATTTGAAGCATGCGTGTCTCTCTTCCCGTTGTCGCGTGGACTTTTTCTCCGGCTCCTCCGGTTTTTCACTTCACATTTAGAAAAAAAAAACGTGCGTTTAGAGTATTTGGCTGCTATAAATTTCCACACGACGATAACCCAGTTGATTGTGCTATGAATTTGTGATCGCCAGGTCGATTGTGAAAAAGGGCTATACAGCTCAGTG